TTGTATCTCATATCTTGTCGCGGATTTCTTAGCGATCACTTAAGGAAGTATAGGGAAAATGGATGGTTCCTTTAGATTTCTGAGCGGCGCTTAAAGCACTAAAAGTTCTCATTATGCCTGAAGTTGATGTCGATCATAATGAGAGGATCATTGATTATATCATTATTCAGAAGCATAATTTTAAATAAAGCATCATCGCACTGAACTCAAATTGAATCAGTCATTTTCAGACGAAAACATCAATCATGTTATATCATATTTGGATAATATCATGTATTATCCTTTCGTTGTCTGCTGCAATCAATTATGAGGACAACGACCTCGCAAAAGGTTTTTTTTCGAATTTTGCTGTGTTTCAATATGCAATATCCAGTGATAGAAGGCTACTGAGCTGAGTGATTTATGCAATCAAGAACTTGGAGTGAAACGACGAAAAACAGTATTCACTGCAAACGTTGAGTTCAAATATGAGTAGTTCAAAAAACCTCGATGAATTTTTCAGTACATCTTACAGCATGAATTTTTGAAAAAAGACTAAACAATATGGCATCATGAATTAGCATTGCAGTAGATATAGTTGGTTANTGCATAACTGAAGAAAAAAATCAAATTTTCTGTTTAAAAGATGACAATGCATTACTGTTGCATTGCGATTTCAGCGCTGCACATTGGTTGATGTATTTTGCACAGTTTTTCAATTTAGTGATTAGTTCGTTGGAGAGGATGGGAATACTTACAATTAGCCGAAGTTCATCCAATCTCATTCACTGAAATAAAGAAATAATATTTCCGAGATATTTTAGTATGCCGTCCGTTGGATCGACAGTTGGATTTGTTATTCATTTTGGATGGTTCAGGCAGCGTGAGTGGAAGTACTTTTGATACTCAAATGGCTATGCTCAAGAGGCATGTTTCAGCCTACCTTGTTGCTTTTATTTAGCCTAATACTCGATCGTTTTGCTATACTATAGAAACTTTCATGATGCTCAATGCATTATTTTCTGAAGTGAATGTGATCGAGCACTCCCAATTGCCACTGAACTTATGCTTTAGTCAGTGTCTACAATATAACCTTAAGTTTGCAACTATAATTTTCATAAGCTTTAGAATTGTTGGAATGGTCGATATTGGTCGAGATAAAACTCAGATAGCCGTCATGCAATATTCATCATACACAAGAGTCGAATTTGGTTTCAATCTCAATCAGGTGATGCTACAACATTTTGAAAGCATTGCACAAAATCGCAATGCATTCGAATCATTCTTACTTTACATCGTCAGAAATGCGCACGGGGAAGTAGCGACGTTATTTTTCATAAACAACTTGTCTAACAGTAAGTAAACTTTTTAGAATTTCTTTGCGCATAAAAAAGAAACGTTCAGGTGCTGTCTGCAGAATTATCGTTTATGGATTCTGCTCCAGTTCATAAGAGAATGATGCTGAATATTTTCAGGATAAAGAGAAACTGAATGCCGCTCTCGAAAAAATCCACCATATTTCTGGTACCACGCGCACGGGTAAAGCGCTTGATAAAGCACTGCAGTTGTTCAAGCATGGTGAAATCTCGGGTGCTAGAGTGAACCAAGAAGATGTTGCTCAAGTATGTTCAACAACTACAGTCCATTCTAATCTTTTTATCCTATCGATAAACCAAGTTAATTTCACTGAGAATAAAACCGCTCATCTATTGTTACATTAGAAAGCGAATTTTCATATCTCAATATCAATCAACATCATTAAGAATCGTTAAAATTGTGAACAGTAAGAGACCGAGTGAGTGCTCATGCAATAAGTTCGCATGCAATAAGCACATCACGGCCAAGCGAACGGCGGACAACAAGATTTTTTCGCTGTTAGCTTTCACTTATCGTAACTTCAGATCGCCGTGGTAGTATCAGATGGGCATTCACAGGATGATCCTGTGCCACACGCACAACGCTTACGACAAGCCGGTAATGCTA